AAAATTGTTAAAAAATGGAATTTTGGTTTTAAATTTTTCAATCATTTTTTTTAAAGACATTATCCCCTGAAAAAATAATGTTACCTTCTTTGGGGAAGGGTACATAATTTTTTTTACTTTAAAATTTTTTATATCTTTTTCGCAGCATACCAGGAAAAAAGTAGGCGTAATATGAAATTATTTTGTCCTAAAGTAGGAAAAATGTAAACAAAATAGTATTTTGATTCCAATTACAAATACTGGATCACCATAATTTCATTTATTGCAAAATGATAGAAGTCAAGTCAAAAAGTCACATAATTTATTTACGGTTAAAAACAATATATATGTCCTCGCCAAGTAGGCATCTTGACGGTACAATATATACACAAAAATTGCTACTGCATCACTTTTTTGACATTTTGCATATTTCAGTCCTATTTCATCATCATATTGAAATCATATTTCCGCATAACGATACACCTTGGGGACTTATAATCGTGTTCATAAAATGATTCTTAGCAAATTTTTGAAGTGATATGTTAGAGAACAGTAAGATACATTATGAATTATACTTATAATTTAACATTTAAAACTTATAAATATTAAAATCTACATATGTTTTAGTGTACAAATTCGTAAACCAAATTTTTTATGAGAATTCAATTCATAGTTGCATTGCTTGAATAAACATATATTTGCTAAGTCAAAAAATTACCAATTTTGTTTGTACATTTTTTTTTTTGATATGAAATTTTCTGGGTAGGTCATGGAGCAATATTATCTAGGTAAACATGGACATACATATACAATAAAAAAGATTTTCAATTTTTCAGTTTCAATTTTGTTTCATATTGCATTTTGTACAGAATTGTTGGTTTTTCTTTCAATATTTCTATTTTTACCTTCTTTTTATAACTAAATAAGGAAAAAGATGGTTTAATGTTATTGGCCCCATAAGTAATCTTTTGGGAAAAAATACAAATCACCGAAAATAAAATAAAATTTTGAGAAATAAAAATAAAAGCATTTCTAAAGCATATTCATAATAAAGATTGCCAGTTGCGACAACTTCTCAAACCATCCCGTGCTTTGAAAGTAAATGAGACCGTAGTAATGTATATTTTTCGATGATAAAAGTTTGATAAAACCATGTTTTGGAGTTTATGGACCTTAACAGTTACCTTTATCCTCCAAATATACCCCACCCCTTCAGTTTTTTTTGGAGATATTCATCTTGCTGGAAAACATTTCCAAAAGTATGGACGAGTGTTAGAAAACTTGTTTTTTTAAGGGAACGCTCCAATTAACAAAATTTAAGTTTCAATGAGGCTTATTTTCGTGAGCAACTCGATAACGTAAAATTCTAAGTAAACAAAATGTGAAGGGAATACCGTTAATAATTCTTTTAAAACGCTAACATAAAATCATTAGAAAGTTTGGGGGGTGGAAAAAGGGGCGTTCATTTTAAAAGATTTTTAGTCTATAGGGAGGGGAAAATCCACTGTTAGAGATAACAGGTTTAAAAAGTTCAAACAATCCAAATGTCCAAATCCAAAGTTGGACGCCACTGTAAACTTTGCACAAAGAGTCTATTTTTCATAAAAGAACTAAAATTGATATTTAAAAAATTTAAAAAATTAAAAAAAAAAAAAAGATAAATCTTAAATAATGGCATGTAGAATTTGGAAACCATTGGGGGATTTTTTTTTTAAGGCTGGTCTTATGGAACGTTGGGCTTTGTTAAAACTTAAATCTTTTGGGGTGGTGACTGTCAATGCTTTTTCACATTGCTTACAGTTTATTTGCTCATGGCTACTAAAATAATGCCCGAAATTCAGTGGAAGGAAGTTTATTTTTCAGGACTGTTTAAATGCAAATTCAAAACTTTAGAGACGAATATATGGCCATTGGTGAAGAAAGTTTTAACTTTTTATAACGTTTTGAAAATTTAAATTAATTTTAATTTCAGCTTTGCTTTTCTCAAAAAAACCCTGACAATGCGGAATGTTTAAGCAAAAATAAAAAGTGAGTTTACATGTACCACATGGGAAAATTTCTTTTTAAAAGTAGTCCGTTCATTGAAAAGTGTGAAATTATATTCTGATCATTTTCACTGTGAAATTTTTCAATGGATTACTATCAAAAGCATAAAAAATAAAAAAGTATTATAATTTGACATAGAAATATCATATGTAAAACACTGCAAAACATTTATTAGAAAAAATAAATATGTCAAGGATGGTCATAAGGTAAAAAAAGTAGAAAATATCACTACGAAACATTTTTTACGGGGCACAATTTATTGTGGTACTCATAGCAACTTTTTAAGTTACAATTACTAAATGGGTAAGTTTGCCATTGTCTGAGGATAGAAGAGATAATGAAAGGAATATTTACAAAAGAAAACAATATAACACAACAAAACATCAAAGATACACTTTTGACCAGTGCAGAAATATACTTCAATATGAATTTATTTTCTTAGTAATTAAAAGTATACTCAATGCTAGATGACAAACGGGCCGCTCCAAACATCCACATATCAAATATATTTTGCTAATTCATATTATCACTGTCATATAAGAAAAAAACTGGGTAGGAAACTATTATAACTTTGAGTATTGATATGTATTTAAATCCCAGTCTTTCTAAAATTGGTCAAGATACCCACATTTGATAGAGTTTGCTTAATTTACCTTAAGAACATATGAAATATAACTTATTGCTCCAGCAAAAGATAGCATTGTTACTATGGTTTTGACATGTAAAAATATACATTTTGATATACTGAAGAACTATATCTTGTTCACATTTTTTTGGTTACCGTTAGTGTAACCAAATAGCATGGTTTCTTTATTCAATTTTGGCATGTTTAGTTTATCTATACAAAATTAGTGCATTGATTTATTGCTTGGAATACATTCCCAAAAGATATGTTCTATTGTTTCACCTTAAAGGCTACACAGGAGGCCGTTTTTATTTATCTTATTTTGAACAAAGGATCATTTTTCGTACCCAAAATCCAATATGAATAAGTACCCTTTGTCAATTTGAATTGTAAAACACTTAATGTCAAAATTTTGAATTTTGCAATTGGCTTTAACCTTGTAATTTATAAATGGAGTATCTTCATAACTGGATTAAATAATATTTTGGAAAAGAGCTTTAGGTAGATCAAATTGATTTGTACCTTCAATCATCAATGACTCAGAACTTGAAGGCCAAAAAATGATTGAATTTTGCTTGATTTGTGCGATAATGAAATATAACTGTGTTATTTATGCATGGACTTTTCTTCATACGTAAGCACAACAATACTACAGACTATACTCAAATCTGATATTAGAAAATATTAGTAATTGCTACACTGTCTTTTTGTGAATATTAAATAAACATTATCGACTTCACACAAAGTAGAAATTTTAAAATTCTACACACTAAAAGGTGGTCACAATATGAAATTATAGTGTTATTACTGTTATTAAAAATCTGCGAGTTTTTTTTTTTTTTTTTTTTTTTTTTTTTTTTTTTGGTTAAGAAAAAGACCAACTTTTCTTGACACGTAATAGGGAACGCAGCTTCCCATGCATAGTTTATTCGTTGTTTTATTCAAATTAGACAAATAGAAAGAATTTCACAGATTTCAATAATTTTCTGTGATACACATATTTTACTCAACGATGAGCATAGTATATCTTTAAATATATAACTCAACTTTTTCTTTCATAATTTAAGGCTTCTGGTCCAAAATATATATCAAACAATAAAAACAGCATTTTTATATGGTTATGTCAATATAATATTAATAAAAATTTAACATTTATATGACGTTATCTACTACTATCAATACATTCCAAACGATGATTGATATAGGTGGATAACTGATAACAAATATTAGAAGTTTTCTACACTAGTTCCAGAATTATACCAGCTAAATAGATATACATTTCTAACATCGGTATATTTACAACAGTTGCAAATGCATGATATTCACATTCTATACATCTTATGTTCCTTTCTAAGCAAATAGCACATAAACGATCATTGTATGAAATATTTAAATGTCTGCCTATCTCTATGTTGAACATCTGAACTTTGATTAAGCAATTTAATGTTGTAATGGCATTTCAATAGACAGAAAGCAAACTCTCAAGATGGTTATAATGATACCGCCGACTTGAGTTATTAACATAATCATGCAAGTTCAGAGTATGACAATCTATCAATCTGTTTCTAAAGATTTTTAATCACAAACAGTTTGTGAAATCTATGCATTTTCGAATAAAAGTAATTTAACATTTGTTGCCCAACAATGCCTTCAAACATTATCAATAGCATATAGCATGACCGTGGAGAAATAAATGATTTCTAATCTTTTGAGTCGTTTTCTGGAGCAACTTGTAAATTCGGGTAGTTGTCTTTAAAGGCAACATGCTCGGACAAATTAAATAAGCCATTTAATTAATATATTTACAAATAATTTAAATGTGTTCGTTGGAAATGTTTTAAACGAAAATTCTCAAAATAGGAGTAAAGATTGTAAATAAGTGTTCAAGTCCATAGCAGTCTACAAAAAACATCGACAAAACGGGTGCAATAAATTCACAGAAATAAGAAAGCTTAGAAAGATATTAACTCCATAAATAGGACATTATAGAGTATTTCCCAACTAATTAGCAGTATTTGATAATTTTTGTTCACACTAAAGATGTCATTATAATTGAATGTATAACTGTTCTCTCATATATAGTGTCACTTTATACTTATGCTTCGACATCTAACACAAAAAAGTTACCACTTTTGCAGGTACACACATGCCTCTGAAAAATAAATGTGTGACATGCCATTCAATTTGTTCAGCTAAAGTTTTACCAGACCATAAGTTTATTCTAAAATGGTGCTTCAGGTAACTTACAAAATAAAGTTTAACTCATAACACTGTTTACATGTCGGTTACAATACAACGTCAGCAAACCATAATTCTTTTAACGAACACTAGGTCTATCTTTGAGTTGTGCTTAAAGCATAGTTTCTTGTATACATTTGATTTCGAATGTTTTGATTTCAGTATTTGCTCGCATACCAACATATAAACATCCTTTCTTTGTAACCTTATCAATTGCGATACTCAATGGCTCATATACATGTTTCGATCCAATGGGGATTCCTATTTTTGTCAAGTCCGAGGTTAATTGAAAAATATTGTTCGATTTCGTACCAGCAACAAAAACCGTCCCATATTCATCTATCGCTAATCCTTGTGGAAGAATTAATTTCTCGTCCTTAAACACAGCTCCAATTCTACCATCGGAATGTATTTTGATCACCGCATCTCTTTGTGCGTCAGAAACATAGAGCGATTCTTCATCTAAGCTTAGAATTATATATCGTGGACTCATAAACAACTTATTTCCCAAACAGTCTTTATCCAATAATCGTAATACTTTACCAGTTTCATTCAGTATAGTGATTTTGCTTGTTGGTTTTATATATGACACATACAAACAACATTGACTTCTGCTGTATGCCAGATTCCAGCAATCTTTTTCGACTTCAATGTCTTCCTTTCTATCGATAAATTCTGAGTTAATAATGTCAAACAATTTGATTTTCCCATCATGTGGTAGAGCTACTGCTATTCTAGTCCCATTTATGGATGCTGCACTCCTTGGAGGTGATGACATAAATAATTGTGATAAAACCTTTTGCTTGATGGGGTCAACCATCACAATGGCACTACACATATATGATATTTCAACGAGCAGATCATCTTTGATTAATAAATCACTAATATTTGTAGGGATAATCCAGTGTTTGTACAGATTAACATCAATATCATTCTTATAACAAGCTGTTTTTGTAAGGAAAGTTTCTGCGAACAATATGTTTCCAAAGTCGGATTTGTCAACTATGCGGCTAGGGTTTGCTTTGAATTTGTATGCCATAATCTCAGTTTGCTTCTTTAAGCATTCAAGTCCCTTCTCGACGGGGGCAATTCTTTTGTCTATATTTTTGAGGGCAATAAAGTTTGAGCAACAGTTGCCTGATTGAGACTCAACAGACCGTAGCATGGTTTTCATAGATTGAACCTTGTACGACAGAGAATCTATCGAAGGTTTAAACGTGTTTTCAATCTCATCAGTTTTCTTTAGAAAATGACATTCAAGCTCTTTCATCTTACTTTCTAAGTTGTGCCTGTGTTGTTTTATAGATTCTCGAATTCTATCTTTCCTTTTTGTCGTAAGTGTATCGATTGTGTCCTCAATGTTTGCTAGTTTTTCAGTTGTTTCAGCAATTTTCGTGTCAAATTGTGTTTTTGATACGTTGTTTTCCAAAGCAACTTTGTAAAGCAATGTCCATTTTTTATTTCGACATCCGTCTTCGTGATAACAACCTTCGTTTGTTATACATTCTGCGCATGCGACGTTATTACAATCTGTGCAAAAATACTTCATTTGCTTCATATGGTGCTTCAAACATTTCTCAAAACGTACATCCAGGGGCATATTATCCTTACCTTTAGTTGAATGTTCAGGTTTATACTTAGCATGGTACAACAAGCAACAGTTACACATATATTCACTGCAATCAACACAAAACCCGTCAGCTTCAGCACGCTTTCCAGCACTCTCACAATGTTCGCAAACACGAGCAGTAAAGTCATCTGACGATGTTGTTACAATGTCAACATTTCCATGTAAATTTTCCATTTTATTTAATCAAATTAATAGACAGCGTTTCTGGTTTTCTTTTGCCTACATATAAAAAGAAAAAAATTTATGTAATCATCAAATACTTTATGCAGCTTGATCTATTTCATTTAATAGCTGCAGTAATATCCGACATGGTTAATCAAACAATTTAAATGTTAATAACACAATAAATTGGTCTTATTACACATAGATATTTTTAAAGGAATGCTTATAAGTAGGTAGATTTGTAGGGATTACGGATCCATAACTGAGCAAAAATGAGCAAGAACCATTGAACAATAGACCATTAAGAGTGTCTGATCATACTAAAAGCAGTGGTTTGGCAATTAATCGTTATTGTTCAGGAGTATCCATCTGCATGAGGTCACATCGATAAGTAAAGATAGACGATCAGGAAAAGAATGAAATGTTACGGGTTTACTATTTTAATGCGAAAACTCCTGCGGCTTAGGTGGGTGTAAAAAAAACTGTTTAGCGTTGTTAATAAAACGCTTCAAGAGGTATAAACGGGGGAGGGAAATCATCGGTTTACCGATGATTGCCTCTTACCGATGATTTGCCTTTACCGATAATTGCCCTGAACCGATGATTTGCTCTTTACTGAAGATTTGCTCTACTGTTATCCTCTAATAACGCGGGAAAAAAGAGAGTTAGAAGGGAACGGCATACGTTTTTGCCAATGACATACACACTGCGCATGCGTGACAGGGAAGATGTGACAAGATGTGCAAGTTAGGAATGAACCCAGATGGGCACTAAAATTCCTGCAAGTTAGAGATGGTACAAGGGGCAGTCCCAAGCCTATGGATGCAATGGACTCAGGTCAGTCCATAGGTAACAAAATTGTCATAATGTCGATTGGCACCAAAGTTCCTGAAAGTCTACCAGCGTGTAAGATCAGTGCAATGGACGTCGGGGAGTACATATTTCCTGTGGAAACAAAGTCTGCAAGAGTGCCAGAAACGTGTAATTGGCTCTGAAGTGTTTCTAGATATTAAGAATGCCATTAGCTCGATTGGCACAAACATTCCTGAAATTATGAGACAGTATAAAGGGTACTAGTATATATCAACATGTCAAAAAGGTTCCGAACCGTTTGATATCTTTAAATAATTTCAAAGTATCTTGGAAAGGAAAATAATTCATCAATTTTAAGTGTTATGTTTATAAACAAATTTCTTCAGTTTCATTTATTCATAGTATAGTCATTTTCTTTTTTACTTGTCTGTTAACAGTAAATCGAATCTTCAGGGATATCATCAACGAATGAGGACAATCATCTGGATTATCCTCCCCCATTTTTACATCTTGGTGCGTTTTATTAACAATAGTTTTCATGCACATTCGAAAGCTGCAGGAATTTTACATTAAAAAATTATATCTCCGTAAAATTTCATTCTTTTCCAGATCATCCAGCTTTTACTTATTGATGTGACCTAATGCACATTAATTTCCAATCCTCTGCTTTTAACATAATAAGACATGTGATCTCAATGTTCTATTGTTCAATGGTTCTTGCTCAATCATGAATCCGTACTCCCACCGAATTCTACTTACTATTTTTACGAAAATTGTTGTTCAAGAAAAAAGAAAAGTAACATATTTTGTTCAGTGATATCCGACCAATTATACGAGAGTAATAATAGTTTTAATCAGGGAAATAGATAAATAAAATGCTTAGTGCAGAAATTAAATCGTTAAAAGTTGGGTGGAGAAAACACTACTGTATAATATTTGTAAAATGGTACTTACTTTGAACAGCTTTTTTGTTTTGTTTCCACAATGAACAATTGTATGACATTGTTTAGTTAAAAAATATCATATTAATTTCACAACATTAAGTACTTGAGAATAGAGAAATCCTATCCTTGTAAATATATATGCGTGTATAATGCTTAAATATCCGTCCTTCGTGTTTTCTTTGCGCATGCGTATCGTCAGGTAAAGTCTACTTTAACGATCTAGGTAGACAATTGTTTTTGTTTGGTCTGAAAAGTTCATAATCAGTCGCATTTTAAATCGCATGTTACATTGTTTTTGATCACATGCTTTCGGCGTGAAAATTGGTGACCCGATATGTACAACGTGATAAAACCCTGTTATTTAATAGTTACAATACAATGTATAAACGGCGACAAACTAAAGGTGTTTAACCCGTTACACGCCCTTTAACGCCTTTTTCACCCCCCCCCTTATGTCTCAAATGGTGAAAAATGCCTTATTTAGGCCCCAACACTTGTTTAAAAAAGTGACCACTTTTTAGTTTTTGGGGGTGAAGGGGGGGCGGCAGTCCCCCTCATCGCCAAAAAAATTTTGGACTTGTGAGAGGCTAAAAATGACCCCAGATCATTGAAAAGCCTCCTGTTACAAGTTCCAACTGCTATAAAACTATGAAAAATGCTTCAATACTGATGAAACTTGGCACATATGTTGACTGAACCATAACCTCTGTAACAACATGCTCAATCTTAAATTTCCTGTTACCATGGCAACGGGGGACGTCTCAAAATTGCGAAAAATCACTATTTTGCATTGTTTTTTTTTCCATCAAAACTGATTTCAAAGTGCTGCAACTTCTCAATGCAATGAGATAGAGTAAAAGGCTTTTCAGCGTTGGTTACACGTCACCTTAAGATCGACCTGAGGCCATTTTTAGCCTGTCACATGTCCAAAATTTTCTTGGCGATGAGGGGGACTACCGCCCCCTTCAAACCCCCCAAACAGAAGGGGGCACATCCCCCTTCTGGCAACCCCCTGATGTATCATTTTGATGGGGGCCGCGCCGAAAAAGTGGTCACTTTTTTTAACAACATTTCTCAAACGAAAAACAGTGTTTGGGGCCTAAATAGGGCATTTTTTCACTGTTTGAGGCCTCAAAAAGGGGGGGGGGGGGGGCAAAAAGCCGTCAAAACACGCTTATATCAGGGAAAAGGTTAAAGTTGCTATTGAAATTTCCATGAAGAGTAAACTAACATCAAGTATAAAATCATAAAACACAAAAAAAAAACAAGCTCACATATTACACTGAAAAAAAAAACAAAAATAAACTGTTGCTTGTTCAACATTTACATGTAATATGATCCATATTTTGTTAACCTAAAAAATATACAAAGTAAACTTAAACGTGACAGAATTATATATCCGATTGTATTAAATATTATATGTGTTCTTTGCTTACTCTTATTTTTAACTTTATATACAGTAAACTCTGCTTAAAACGAATTCACTGGGACATTCAAAACCTGTTCCTTATATCCGGAGTTCCCTGTAAGCATATAGCAAATTAGTTCCTTGTATCAGGAGTTTTTATAGCGAACAGATTTTCATATAACGAACTGTTTGTTTACCATTGTCCGCCATTTTTGAAGAGCATTTGATTAAGAAATAGAAATATTAGTCATTTATTTATATTTTAGACACAATACCCGAGAGCGTACTTTTTGGAATTTGAAAATCATTGCAATTTCAGTTTTAGTTTTACTCCCTATCTCAATTTCACATAAAATATAATATTTTGTTTCTAAACTCTTTTCGTTTTCTTTCCATGATTAAGAATAAACAAGATTTTCGATTTTCCTTCCTTTTATATTGAATATCTTCTATTATAATTTAAAGGTGACTTTTACTTATGTAAGATATATATTTCGTTTTATTTAAATCAAGCGTACTTTGCAGTTTGCAATGGATCATGCTTGCAAGCATGCGTGATTATGTTGAAAACCGATTATAAATTATTATAATTATTTTACTCGAGCAAAACTATTGAAGAAAATAAATAAATACCGTTTTATCTTGGTGAAAAGAGCTTATGCTAAAAATATCCTAAATAGAAAACTATACAAATTCATTTGAATAGATGTATTGAAGTGCATACAATGATTCGCCCAAATTTTAATCCGTGCGTTGAAAATGCGGGATCTATTTACGGATAGCAAATATTTTGGAGTTCGTTATAAAAGTGTAATTTTCTGTACTATTAACTAACTTGGGACTAAGAAATGAGTTCCTTATAAGCGATAATTCCTTATAACCGTGTTCGCTATAACCATATATTTTTATATTAAATAAAGAAGGGCAAAATTCGGGCCAAAATAAATTGTTCCCTATAACCGGAAGTTCGCTATAACCGTGTTTGCTATAATTGAAGTTTACTGTAGTATGCTTTCTATTACTTTAATATAATTAACTTCATAAAATAATGCTTCCACAAATGAAACAAATAATATACTTAAATTAATACAATTAAATGTAAGCTCATGCTAATCTTGTTGTCTATTTATAATTATTCATAGTGTATATTATTAATTAAAGTTGTTTCTTAAGATAATATTTCTTGTCAAAAAAAAAGCTTTAGCCCCTATATTTTAGAGATTTTTTTAAAAGTTTTTACTCTTTACGTGTTAGAAAAATCTATAGTCCACCAGGGCGGGTCAATTTTGAATTAAGGGCTATAATATGAAAAATTTTTGAAGAGGTCCACCAGACAATTTCTCATACCAAATATCTAAGCTTAAGGCAGAGGTAGATTTTTTATGTGATTATGTTGTATATATATATATGTATTCACTTCATGTTAACAAGACAATGTACTTTGTATAAGTCTGGAAAGTAAAAGTTCTGATCTGTTCTGTTTTTTTTTCTATATAAATATAAGGAAAATCAATGACCCCTGGGGCGGGACAAACTTTGATCCTAGGGTTTTTATTTGAACAAACTTGGTAGACACCCGCTGCAACATGTTACAATAATCTTGTTTAGCATAAGTCATTCCTTTGATCCTTTTGTAACTCATTTTTAGTGTCATTTAGAGAACAATCTTTTACTGCATATATATCAGGAAAATCAATCTTTCCTTGGAACGGGCCAATTTTGACTTATTATTACGGATTGATATTCATTTTCAATATTCAGTCTACATCCAGGCCACACTCTTCCATGGCCCCCATTTTTTTTAATTTAGTAATTATGATTTGTTTAAAAACTTTTGAATAAAAACT